AACTTGTGTGACCACTGACTTTCTTTCTCTGTTATCAAGCAGTATGCATTATTTGTAACAGTAATTACTTGTCTGTGTCATGTGGATGCATTGTCTTATTTTCCTTTTTCAGGCTACAGCACAACCGAGAGAACGAAATGTACGTCGCAATCAAGCTATGTCGTTGCCATCTTCTATGTGCCATGCGTTACCTGATGTGCCAGCCTGCTATGTCGGATACCGCTAACCATGCATCGACTAGGCGCCAGGCGCGAACTGATGGTGGTGGTGGTGAGAAGGAGAGCTCTGTGCCAGAATAACTTTGCAGTTTAGAGAGCGTGTCTGGGCAGGCGTGTATTTACCCCCATATTGCCAGGTGTGTATTTACCACCATAAGAACCAACCATAAGTGCAGTTGCAGTGGAGTCTTCAACTTCATTCTCCTGAGGTCAAGCTCCTTGTGAAGACATCTAAGAAGAAGATTGCCTGATGAATCCAGCCGGGACGAAAGGTACATCGCAATCAAGCTATGGTGTTGCTGTGTCATCTGCTATGCGCCATACGCTACCTGATGTACCAGCTGCTATGTCGGACACCATTCACCCTGCATCGACCAGGCGCCAGACGCGAACTGATGATGGTGGTGGTGGCGGGAAGGAGAGCTCTGTGCCAGAATAACTTTTCAGTTTAGAGAGCGTGTGTAGGCAGGTGTGTATTTACCGCCGTATGAATCAACCACAGTACGATCAGCCGACGTTATAACTTATAAGGATGATCTCGTGCAGCGATATTATTGATATTTTTTAAGTCTTTTCTAAGGACTCTCCACTGCAGCGTTTTCTTTCCACCCGGTTCTCTTCTTTTCATCGCTCAGCTTGCACTTGCAATGCTTATACATACTGATCAATCCCGTTCAATTTTCCGTACATTTTTCTCAAAATCCATAGCGTGGACGAAGTAGTGATTTTCCGTACAAATATGGAAAATACGGAAGGTTGATAGCACTGTGTTGAGGCAGCTATTGTTGACTTTATTTGGAATTAATTCTGTCGTATTTGCACACATTCCTGAGTGCATTGTATTACTATTAGCATCCAATGTGTGTATCTGTGCGAGCTTCTAACCTTGTGAACATTCACGAAGGTTCGGTTGGTGGCGCACAAGATCTTCCGGGATGGCTCTTGCGGGCTCTCAGCCCTGCGTTCACTGCATAAAACTTGGCAGAACAGTTCAAGCTTCAATTTAGGCCATTTCCTCACTCTGTGACTCCCAATATTTCACATGTGCAATGATTATAAGTATTGTAGATCACTGGGACAGCGCCACTTTGTTAGCCGATGTTAGTCCTGAAGAAAATTGACTTCATTGCCCTAAAGGTGAGAAGAAATTGGGACTATTTGTGAAGGAAAACTTTGGAAAATGTAATTTCGAATAAAAGTCATTTCGTTTATCTGGATAGGTCCAATATTTCACAAATGTGCAATATATGTATTGTAGATCACTGGGACAGGGCAACTTGGTCTGTCGAAGTTAGTCACGAGGAAAAAATTACTTCATTGCCCTAAAGGTGAGAACAAATTGGGACTATTTGTGAAGGAAAACTTTGGAAAATGTAATTTCGAATATAAGTCATTTCGTTTATCTGGATAGGTCCAATATTTCACAAATGTGCAATATAAGTATTGTAGATCACTGGGACAGGTCGGTCGAAGTTAGTCACGAGGAAAAAAATTACTTCATTGCCCTAAAGGTGAGAAAATATTGAGGCAATTTGTAAAGAAAGGATTACCTCATCTTAGGCCAAGTAAAAAAAAAAGCTAGATGATCGTCCCCGTCCGCCCAGTTTTTGTCAGCGCCCCAAGAAATATTTTATTTTTTAAATCGTGAGTTTTACTATATGGACCACATACTACTAGTATATCACAACGTCAGTATCGATCTGCTGAAGAAAGAAAAAGAAAAAAAGAAAAAAAAAGAAAAAAAGAGAAAAAAACCTTGATGTTGTTGTGTACACTGTGTGCATGAGAGGGTAAAAAGTAAAAAAATAAAAATAAAATCCTCCCGCCCTCCCCGATTTTTCCAAAAAAAAAGGACGATCATCTAGTAATTTTTTTTACTCGGCCTTAGGTGGTCAAAGTGCCTCAGAGTTCGAGTGGCAGTGCAAGTGAACAAGACCCTTTATTAGTGAACTCCTCAGCGATGGCCACAGTACAGATGGCTGTATTTCGGCAATGGAGATCGAAAGTCTGACCACGTTCAGCGAAAGACGAAGACGACGCTATGTACGGATTTCCCGGGCGCTATGACCTATGACTATGTACGGACTTGTCCCACACCGAGCAGGTCGTAATATTTTGAATCGTTGAGTCGATCATGGTTGTGCACAAGTGTGCGCGTGTCGCCTCCCGGGTCTAGACTATGACTCCCTGACTGTAGTATTGTAGCCCAAATGCAAACTTGCTTGGCGATGGCAATGTGAAAAGGATTTATTTGACACAAAAGTCGTTATCAGTCGGTATTTCTTGACTCCTTTCAAACTGATGACGTAGACCCACACAAACAAGTCACAAAAAAACTCAAAATCAGGGAGTCGTCAAATGTGGTATTTGACGACTCCCTGCTCAAAATGCAGCGTCGGGGATCGGGAAGAAAGCAGTTCAAGGCAGTTGTTCGAGCTTCAGTTCAGTCGCCTGCTAGTAACTGTTAGTAGTAGTTACTAGTACCTGTTGGAGTGTTGCTGTGTCTATGCCTAGGCTATGGGCTAGCTGTGCCTCAACCAACAAATCAGCCCTGTCACTCTGTCGTCGTATGGAAGCAAGATTAGCTTGCGAACTCCAGCTGGGGAACCTGCAAACCTGCGTCGTGAAACGAAACTTTCTCTTGACCTTGATTTTCTACAAATTTGTGAAACAAACTGATCGAGCTGTTACTATGTTAGGAGAACATCTCTCTCAGGATGTTGCGAGAATGAGAGAACGCCTGAGCTAGGATATTATGTGCGTGGAAACCTGCTAAGATCAGCGGCAACGGATCACCTCAGCCAGGCAGGAACAAGCCTGCGCAGAGCAAAGTATAATAAGTAAGATCTGGTGTAAAAAATAATCGTGCTGTGCTGTGAGTGTATGCGTGCGGTGTGGAAAGGAGGTGCGAAGCCTAGTCTCAGTTTGGAAAGTCTGGTAACTAACGTTAGACACATGTACGTAGACTGTCGTAGCGTAGGCTTGGGAACTCGAGTCCTCCAGTTCAGTGTCTGGAATGCCAGTAATAGTATGCCTGTAGTTGTGCACCTCTTACACTACCGTAAAAGCCCATGTGTAGGCCCTGGGCGTATAGAATAGCAGCCTCGATTTCCTGGGCGTATACAAGGGCACGGGCGTTATTTTGGAACCGGGCGTATACTTGGAATAGGGATAGCAGTAAGTATTGGGTATCAGTACCTGTACATGTACTGGTATTGCTGGCATGGCTGGGCGTATACATGGGCATGGGCGCTATTTTGAAACAAACGTGTTTACTTCCCCTGACCGAGCATATACACGGAGGGTGGGCGTAATTTCGAGTGGGCGCGTACAGGGGCTTTTACGGTATTAGTATTAGCCTCCAAACAACTACTACCGGGTAGTACCAACTGTTTTTGTTTGGTGCTAGTAGTGTAAAAGCCGAATATCGTTGGGGAGTAATTGCGTCCAACACTCACACTGGCTTACTGTAAGATGATCGTTAAATTTGCGACTCTTTAACGAGTGGCACAAGTCGCAAATAATTTAACGGTTGTCCAAAATCTATAGGTTAACGAGAACATTATAGATACGTTAACGATCTTGCAGTCTTCAGGCACACCCGCACATAACACAAGTCACAGCCTCAGCTGAACTTACTAAAAATGTCACTCGTTAAAACGTTAGATTTACTTCCTCGTTAAATTTACATGTCTTGCAGTAAGTATCCTACGCGAAATAGTTGCGACGTGACGCGTTTCCCGTACTCGAAATTAAGTATGAATCAAGCTTTGACCCACACTCCAGTTTACATGCTGTTGCATAGGAAAGGCCAGTCAAGGGCACATTTCTTTCAGTTTTTATTACAATCCCTAGAAGGGAGATGGACCACACCTGGAAGAACTACAATACCAGGGTGATCCGTGGAGAGGGTGAAGCAAGCTTCGAGCCACTCTCCAAGGAGCAAAAATACATTTGATCGAATGTTGACATATAGTCAACATATCAGCGATCAAACTGATAAGAACAGATACTACACTTGATCTTAGCCAAAAGGCCGAGAAGCGATAACCTTCAACGTTCAGAGCGTTTTGCTAAGTTATGTCTTTAGTTTCAGTGGTCCAAATCACTAAACTTTCATCCAGGCACCCTGAGGCATGGTATTGCCCCCTCCTTGGCTCAATTCGTCATGCACCTCTTCAGTGATCTGCCCCGTGTATCTTACTGCAGTATTTATGCGGCGCCTTGGTCGTCAAGGCGATATATATTTACGTTTGAGCGGCAGGTCCTTTTGCTTTGTATTTCATCTCTGTTGAAAGTCAGTTGCCCTATTTTGAAAACAATGATGACTTGCACTTTGGCCCTACAATCAACATCGTTGTTTGGCCACCATAGTCACCCATAGCAACCACCCGTCTTAGGGATCCGCATGTTGTTTTGGTGACGTGTTGTTTTGTAAGTTACTGAGTACTAGCAACCTTGGTCATGTGTGTGATTGGTTTGGTGGAGCTCATTAGGCACTTCAATGTCCACTAAATCTGTGCCTACAATAAGGTGTGTAGTGCGACTCTGCGTGTCGATGCGAGCATTTTGACACACATAACGTGTTGCGGTGGAGTGTTTTTGACCAGCACTTACTTTACTCGCTTCTCGCACACTGGCGTTGAAAAGTATATGTGTATGTACATGTGTATGTCCTATGTGAAGTCCATATAATAACTTTCCTGCCATGCGCTGCGTCTGCATAAGACCTAGCCTAGAGGCTGCTGTAAGCGGTACATGTTTGGATAGTTAGAATGTCCGGATAATTAGCAGTTTTTCCCTGGCATTTTGGGGTTCGAATTATCACTTTATCAGGATTCCACCTGTACATGTACTAGTTACACATGCAACACGCCTTTACTATACAGGAAGCATTTACGCTGAGAAATAGACATAAAGACTGTGGTAGAGATCGGTAATTAAAAGCCGTACTGTAAATATACAAATTTTCGGCAGCTATTTAATTTCGGCTATATTCGGCACCGACCCAAAACGCCTAAATTAAAACGCCGATGACATTTTTCACAGCATCTGTCGCACTATACCATGCCCTCTACCCCACGCCGAAAATAAATCGCCGCCGAAATGTCAAAAATCGTGAAGTGCGGAAATTTTGCAGCGCCGAAATTTTGTATATTTACAGTATTCGAATTATCAGGATTCCATCTGTAACTACAAACGGTTACATGTAGAGCCGGTGTTGTGGCTCTTTGTCATAGCGTTACCTGCTGTGTGCCTTGTGCCAGTCTTGTAGCAGGGTATGAATGTGTGTGTGTGTGTGTGTGTGTGTGTGTGTGTGTGTGTGTGTGTGTGTGTGTGTGTGTGTGTGTGTGTGTGTGTGTGTGTGTGTGTGTGTGTGTGTGTGTGTGTGTGTGTGTGTGTGTGTGTGTGTGTGTGTGTGTGTGTGTGTGTGTGTGTGTGTGTGTGTGTGTGTGTGTGTGTGTGTGTGTGTGTGTGTGTGTGTGTGTGTGTGTGTGTGTGTGTGTGTGTGTGTGTGTGTGTGTGTGTGTGTGTGTGTGTGTGTGTGTGTGTGTGTGTGTGTGTGTGTGTGTGTGTGTGTGTGTGTGTGTGTGTGTGTGTGTGTGTGTGTGTGTGTGTGTGTGTGTGTGTGTGTGTGTGTGTGTGTGTGTGTGTGTGTGTGTGTGTGTGTGTGTGTGTGTGTGTGTGTGTGTGTGTGTGTGTGTGTGTGTGTGTGTGTGTGTGTGTGTGTGTGTGTGTCACACACACACACACACGTCCATCCGCTTTACACCCAGTGAAAGTGTGACAGTGGTCATGGTGGGCAGAAGTGTTGAATCTCCCTGCCGCCTGCCACTGCATCCAGCTGGTATTGTAGTACTCGTACTACTAGGTGTAGTGTGATCTTGTCGTGTTATATCCATGACCCAGTACATGTATGTATCACTACGGAGGATTAGCAAGACGTAATTCGCGTTCGCGTTCGCAAACATTTTTCAGTTCGCGAACTGGATTGCGAACTTTCTCATTCTTCGTTCGGAAAAGTAGTCGGAACACGAATCGCGGATTCGTGTCAGGGCAGTCATAAATTTACCACGCTGTAGAGTCTACTGTCTGTACACAATGTACGTCGTACATGCATGTACGAATTCTGTTTGCTAATTCTTCTCATAACGCGAATTCCGTCACTGAGTTCGACTTTCCTTGGAGAGCGAACGCGAACGCGAATTTCGTCTTGCTAATCCTCCGTACTACTTGACTTGTACATGGCGAGTAAACTGACTGGTATGGTGCATACCTGTCGTGGGGCCCTGTACCAGACCAGTTCTTGGGCGGGCCTTCACGGTACAGTACTGTACATGAGTTGCCGCGGTATTCGTGGACATGTTCATGTAGGTAGTACAGTGTACATTGGATGACACTCCTTATAAGGCAGTACACATACCGATACACGGTGTGCTGGGCATTGTAAATATTTGGGTGAAACACACGCAGTTGTGATACTGATGGCAAGAAGAAAGCAGTCGGATATTATGTTTCGTGCTCACCAGGATAAGGTCTGTGCGGGGAGTATATCAATAGCCTGAATAGGTGATGCTGTGCTGTGACCTCGTACCCAGACCGAAATTATGAAGATTGTTCGTTGTCATGGCGAGGCACTGAAGATAGGCACTAAAGATGGAATGAACATCAGTAAGACCAGAAAGAGTCACTGAAAGCATACCTGAGCCTCTAACCCAGATAAAGTCCTGCTAGTTACCATGGTTTCCATGGTGATATGTTACATCATGCACGATATATGCGGAAGCGGATTGTGATTCCAATCTTTCGGTCTTGGCTTTGAATACGGGTATACCCCCCTTCAGCGTTATGATCACGCAGGTGGTCCCCTGGATATCTTGTGGATGGTTGCCATGGAAATTCGGCAGTTTGTGTCATGAAACACGAAAATTTGATGTGACCTTGTGTGAAAGGCATTTCTGCCTTCCCTGGCGATGCATATGGTGGCTGTATGTTGTGGGTTGGCCTTTTGGGCACTAGTGACCCTGAATATAGATATTGTAGAAAGGAAAAGCCTCTTGATGATGAAGGTTATCGCTTCTCGGCCTTTTGGCTAAGATCAAGTGTAGTATCTGTTCTTATCAGTTTGATCGCTGATATGTTGACTATATGTCAACATTCGATCAAATGTATTTTTGCTCCTTGGAGAGTGGCTCGAAGCTTGCTTCACCCTCTCCACGGATCACCCTGGTATTGCAGTTCTTCCAGGTGTGGTCCATTTCCCTTCTGGGGATTATAATAAGAAATGAAAGGTGTTTGAAGTAAAATATCCACCTTGTATTGAATGAAGTTTCTATGCGATACTCATTGCAACAAGAACTCAACTTTCTAACATTATCACTTTTTAATAGTAGGGCAATTTTTTAAATTCACTTTGTTACGATGATAGCGCAATGAAGTACATGATTGTATGTTCCTGCCACTGCACTCTGCACACTACTGCATGCTCAATGAAACCCGATCAAGTGAGTGAATGCCACGTAGGATGCTGTGCAGCCCTCGACCTGCGAACACTGGCCCGGGATGGTGAACTGACGCAGAGCGCAAACTTGACTCAACGTGATCGGATTTCATTGAGCAGCACTGTAAAGAGACCATACCATAACCACAGATATGTATTCTTGCTGAGAGAGTTTGTTTTCCTGGAGATTGATATGGGGGGTTACACCATGCACATCACAGTCACTCGATATTGATATCGGTACACCATGCACGCCACAGCCACATGCGCAGGCTAGGACTCTGAAGCCAAGCTGACGAGTGATGCATTGAAGCAACTGGCACCATCATCAGGCACGACGACGCATTAACGCTCACCTACTCAAGCATCCGCAATGCCCTCACATACCCATTTGGCCCCCAGCACGCTGTCAATGAAGTTCATCACAAAGTACCAATTAGGCTCCAAAACAAAATTGGCTTACTCATTTCGTCGGTAGCGCTAGAAAATAGTCACAAACGCTACCAATTGGAACATGTAAGTACAATTCTACCGTGACATCATAGAAAAATAAATTTTAAAAGAAATAATTCGTAACAAGTTGCTAAATGTACTGCCATGGCGTAGATGCACTGCTAAAAACGTAAACACCTGGCGAAAGTGGAATCCAGAAGCGACTCGTGAACAACCCAGACGTAATACAACAAGGGTGGAAAAATCACCGGCAGAACACCGCAGAAAAAAGGAAGACGTTTGGCCCGAAAATCAAACCGGGGCTGTCACACTGCTACACATGACGAAAATAATAAACCCTGGCATGCTTACGCACGTACGTACGTGGACACTGTTCCGTGAATTTCCGCTTTCGGAGATATACACTCCTGCTACGGACAATGTGAAGTAAAATAGGCGGCGGATGTGCACAAGAGACTTCCGCTGAGGAAATAAAGACAGTATTGTCAGTGCATAGCGCTATGGCAAGTCTGCTGCAATGCAATGGTGGAACAACAGGATAGTTTCAAATATAACGAAAAGTGGCAAGCATCCTGCGGAAAATTGTCGCTCCGTAAAAATTCGTCCGGCATGGTTGTCGGCGACCAGACTAACTCAATGTAGAGAGCAGTACCACTTGGGTGTGGTAGGCAAGACTTGAGTAGATCGGACGGTGCCACACGGCGACAAAGCGCCCTTCCCAGGCAGCAATGATAGAGGTGAGAATGTGCATGTCCTCAAATATTTATATACAAAGAACGTTTGGTTGTGGCTGCGCTGCGGCTCACGTCGCGGGGTTTCCGGAACATGACGTACATCTCGAGCTAGGTGCGCCACACGCATGGTCGCTGCAAGAAGAGAGTGGAAGAAAAGACAAAGAGCATGTGTGTTGGAGCCCCGGAGAGTTTGCAAAAACTCACACAAGCATCCAGGCGGGCTTACTTTCCTCTCAAAGCTTAATACCCTCCAGGAATACTGGATCACATAAAAAGACACGGCTCTTGTAAAAGGGAAAGTTAGACTGATTTGAACGCATTCAAAAGTCCACCACCACCTCATGTCAGGGTTCAACGTGACATGAAATGAAAATCTAATGCAAGCGTTTCGAATCCGATGAAGAGATGGACTGGATATTAGTCCCCGGTGAATTAATAGGAAATACAGATAAACTATAGCCAAGACAGTCTTAGATCAGGTCCTAGGCTGCATGGATGCAATGGGCGAATATATGCAGCATTGAACTTGGATACTGAGTACTTTATGACGGCTTATTATCTTGTCACTCATATCTCGTACCCGTGTGTGTCCTTTCACACTGTTTACATAATGCAGTATGCCAGTATCACTTACCATGTATGGCAGTATTCCCTGTTCAGAATTACAAGCGCGACTTTTTCGCACTGGGCTCATCACCATTGGCTTCTCCAGTCAACACACTACGCATGTACGCAATGACGACCTGTTGCGGATGTGCCTGATACCGGTCATGTTGCTCCTTGGTCATGTTCACCTGGTGCGGTATATGTGGGCACAGATATAGGAACACGCACACACACACACGCACGCACACACACGCACACGCACACACGCACACACGCACACACGCACACACACACACACACACACACACACCATTGAATGTACATTGCGCATTAGTTGAACGTGTTTTCGCACGCGCTTGGGCGCTCCAGAGAATTGATATCCTAACCAAGTGCCACCACTTTGCTCATAGCTTTAGAAATCGTGCATACAATCTGACATGAAGAAGACTGGGACCACCACACAGTATCACCTTGCGTGTAATGACATGATTGAGAGGACTGACTTTACCAGACAGACCCAACTCTGAGCTTCTGTACATTCAGCTGAGTGTGATTGGGACGGAAGATCGCAGTTGGGTCGACTAGCCAGTAGCATAATGCTACCCGGAATACCCTTTACTTTGGTGTAGTTTGGCATGGAGGCCCGTTTGCAGATTGCTACTGGCCATGGTTTGTGCAGGCTCAGATACCATATCCGGCACCACCACCACCCTTTTGTATGCTGTACAGTTGAGGGATCAGTCGGCAACTGCCTATCAGCTCCTCAGAGTTTGGGGGTGTCAGCCATTGGGCGGCTCAATAGCCAATTGAGCCATCTTTCCAACATTCCTTTCGAAAATATCCCCCCTTTCCTGGGGAGACCCACGTGACCAGTTTACGGCAGTGAGCAAGTACGAGTACAACTGTCTGTGTGTGTGTGTGTGTGTGTGTGTGTGTGTGTGTGTGTGTGTGTGTGTGTGTGTGTGTGTGTGCGTGTGTATGTGTGCGATCAGTAGAACATTTGTGTCGTCCGAGTCTGCTCCTGGCTTTCGGCGACACAATTACAATCGTGGACGACGTCATGGCGGAGCGGCTTCCTAGTGGCAGTGCTGACTTCTCTCGAACTCTCTCTTCTACTCTCCCCTGTCTCGGGGGCGGCGTGGCCAAGCATTTGGCAGCTGTACACCAGGCCAGGTGTGTGTGTGTGTGTGCGCGCGAGCCCTGCACTATCATAGCAGCTGATGATAACCGTACAAGTAAAATGTTATTTTTTAGCCTGAGTTACCCTAGCTCTTCCACTCCTACCTGATCACCGTTGAGGCGGTTAAGTAGAGTGACGCAGACGCACGCACAGCGCACACGACTAGCGTGGCACAGTGCACCCATCACGACACACTCCATCTCAATGTTGACGACACCCTTGTCCTTCGCTTGCTCCAGGAACGCCATCTTCGTCGCCAGGTCTGTTTTGCAGACGGCGCCGTCCAGCCTGCCTTGACCTGCGGCGGAGAGAAAGAAGGAGAGTGAGAGTGAGTGAGTGAGAGAGTGAGTGAGAGAGGGAGAGGGGGGGGGGGGGGGAAAGAAACAGGCCTGGCACAATACGTTCAAGCCTAAAAGGAACCCTTTGCGTGTTAAAAAAAAGCAGTTTAAACTTGTGCAGAGTGCCCATTGCAAGGTATCATTCGAAAGCAAGTATAGACACCGCTACAACAGTTCTCACCTTCGTAAAAGTCATCCGTACTCATTGTGTTGCCTGCGACAACACTCACATCATCAAGACGCTGACCACACGCAATGATGTCTTTTCTCGTCTTCTCATCCATGTAGGACTCGCGCTGTGCAACTTTGCCAGCAACAATCTTGCAAGACACACAGAGATAGGAAAGGAGGTAGGGAGAGAGAGAGAGAGAGAGAGAGAGAGAGAGAGAGAGAGAGAGAGAGAGAGAGAGAGAGAGAGAGAGAGAGAGAGAGGGAGAGAGAGAGAGAGAGAGTGTGTGAGTGAGAGAGAGAGACAGAGAGACAGAGAGGGAACCAAAGAAAAAAAAAGGATCCAACATGAGACCATCCGAGCACAACTAATGCTGACACACCAGATCGTCCAGTCACAAAGCTAAGCAGATGCGATATGTTCAGCACCTTGACATAGCCAAAGTTCTACAAAATGAAGTGTGGATAACATCAAGAGTAGATAAACAAGAGTGTGCAACTCCGGATCTCTCCTGCACAATCTGCAGATACCCCCGCCCACGGCGGAATTTTTTGTTGACGTTACCTTTTTTTCAGAAACACGGACTTTGCCGCAGAGCAGTGTGAGAGCACGTGCTGGGCACCGACCTTGTAGTGTAAAGCCCGGCCAAGTGCACGAGGGAAACCTCTTCAAAAGGCTCGCAGTGCGTGCCTCGTCGAAAAGATTACGTCAACAAAAAATTCCGCCGTGGGCCAACCCATCCGCGAGTTGCACACTCTTGTTTATCTACTCTTGATAACATGGGTAGAGCACTAGACCGTACAGAAATGCCTCATACCATATCAGCTCTTGATCAAGTTCATTGCAGAAGTAATGACGAGTGTAATCGCTCGTCCGTTTTTTCTTTCTTTCGGCAGATTCATGTGGACATGCAGTGGTAAGCTACGCTCATGCTACACTCATGCTACACTCATGCTACACTCATGCTACACTCATGCTACACTCATGCTACACTCATGCTACACTCATGCTACACTCATGCTACACTCATGCTCATACATACCACATTGTGGTGGGGTTGTATCTCGGCATTGAACGGCTGCTTAGTAACGACGACAGTGCCTGGTGCAATACCTGCAGGCATACGTTCAACAGCACCACGGATTAAGATCGAAATGCGTTAAAGTGTCCTCTCAAGATACACAATGCTGAACTCAGTGGTTTCCTGCCGTACATTCTGTGCGTAACTGAACACAAGTGAGGGGCATCGGCAGGTATTTTGGTGTGGTACGGTCAGCCATCTGAAGTACAATTTACTCGTGGGGGAGGGGTGGCTGAGCCGAAAATTTTGGGAATTCAGAGCCCAGATCAGTGTATTTTATTGATTCACGGGGTACCTGTGGCAAAAAGTGGTGCGGTTAATACCATAGTGACCGTACCGTGTCCGACGCCACTGAAAGTTGTGGACATATGCATACAGGTATAAACCACCTCTGTCCCAGCCTATGAACCTGGCATGCCTACGCTGGGAATCGACACTCCATCACACATGCGGCTCGCCAAACCAATAGATCATGTGCACGACCCGCGACGTGACCACGGACCGGACTTATAGAGCACGGCACTGGAGGTTAGAACAGTTCTGGAGCACTCACCAATGCCTCCCGACGTGCCGATTCGGATGATGACCGGGTCATCACACCCAGCGTAGTACAGCAGCTTGATGATCTCATGCAGCAGAATAGACACGGAGGAAAAGCCCATGCCATGCTAGGAACACAGTGGAAACAAGAAGCAAACGAGACGGATATAGCAGTGAAACATCAGTACAACATACCTTCAAGGGCCAGAATACAAGCACAGGGAAACGTGTCTAAGACGACTACTCAAGGGACCTTCAAAACATGGTCTCTGTTACCAGGTGGTCTCCATTTACAGGGTCATTAGGCTGGAAATAGCAGGCATCCCTTGGTCCTGGTTCAAGTGGTCTTCTAGAACAGGTGGTCGCCTTCACAGGTTTTGCTGTACTCTATAGCCAGTATCTCAGTGGCACTAGTTCACTGACACATACAAGACTGGGTCCAGTAGGCTTGTTTAGGTTTTTTTTTAATTCTTTTATTTCAGGATTCTCCAGATCAGGTCTTGGAAGGCCTGTCGAGGGAGTGCATGCCCTTATATGTGAAAATCGCGTTTTTTCTCCATTTCGCCAGGAAACAAATATTCCGCATACAAGGGCATGTCTCTTTCAATACGAGTATTCAAGTCTTCAAAATACACTCTTGGGTCTTGTGTTTTTTCCATGCCTTTACATGTGGAGGTGCCCTTTATGCGCGTGTGTACGGTAGCAGCATATACATGAACGACGCATAGGAGAGATGCTAAAGAGACAGGTGCCAACATATAAAGCGCCTTTGGGGACAAAGGGTTTCAGTATTCGATTGTTCATTCGGGGACACGAACTGATGAGAAAAATCCACTCGAAATGAGTGATGAGATAGGTTCGAACATTTCAGGAATACTGCCACAAAGTGACATGTTGTTCAGATCTCGGAAAATTCGGCTGACAAGTATGCTTTACAAAAAAAAGTCAATCTTTGACGCAACAAATGAGAATTGGCCACGAGTATTGATATGGAGGAAAGGTGAGGGGGAAAAAAGAAAGCGCCCAACGTGGGGCTCGAACCCACGACCCTGAGATTAAGAGTCTCATGCTCTACCGACTGAGCTAGCCGGGCTGCACATGCAAATGAACAGAGTAATTATTGAAGAGAGTGCATTGCATTGAGCTGCCACGAGTTGCCGAGAACAAGTAGAAAATGCAAGCAAAATAAAAGAAATCTTGTAGCAAGACTACCGTAGTGCTGTAGTGCAGCAGAAAAACACTTTTATACCACTCAACAGTTTGTGCGGCCTTTCTTCGTTGAAAAGCTGATTTTATCAGACTGGTGCCCGGTAGAAAGGAGTGCCCCGACATGGGGAGTATTAATGTTGGGAGTTTTACTGTACATAAACGGAGTGCATTGCGGCATCCATACAAGTTCGGCCACGGCATAGCATTCGTATTGACGTCATCGCGAATCCTTGGATATCCCATTACACCGAAGTCCACCAAAACAATCAAGAAAACGTTAGAAAACTGTACTGGGCAGTATCATATGCAGCAACACACAACAGACACAAATTCGTGTGATACAGTACAGTCAATTGCTCAATCTCAAGATATCTTGCTGTTTCACCCTTGTTAGGTCTCGTTAGCAGAGCTCAGAGTCACTGGCAAACCAATCGCAATGAAATCCACTGAACAATAGCGTTTTTTTTAACCAGCTCAAAGCATCAAAGTCTGAGGGCTCTAACTGTTAGAGCTTTGCACGAGATACAATCAACTACATAGCTACATGAAACAGTGTACGATAGAGTATTGAGCCCTGGCCATTCACGACGACCAAAACAAAAACCATGCTGTGGATCTTTCTCCGAGAGCTAGTCAACTAAGAACTGGTTCTGGTGCTTGTGGTGTGTTTGAATAGCTGGCACAAAAAAAATATCGGGAAAAAATAAAGCGCCCAACGTGGGGCTCGAACCCACGACCCTGAGATTAAGAGTCTCATGCTCTACCGACTGAGCTAGCCGGGCTGCACAAATGACAGAACAGATCGAATGTTGAAGAGATACGGGTAGCCTAGAACCAAGAGTACATAACCCCCCAGAGTGTGCAACGCCTGATCCAGCTCTGCATAGGGTCTTGGTCGAGCGGAATCGGATCTTTGCGTCATAATACCGTACACATCTGAAGGGAACCCGGGGAGTCGCGGGTACTCTTGGATCAAAAACCATGGTGCCCTGCCTCGAGACCGGCCTTGCGCTGGTGTGGAGTGTACGCATGACATCAGAAGATCCGATTCCGCTCGACCAAGACCCTATGCAGAGCTGGATCAGCGTTGCACACTCTGGGGGGTTATGTACTCTTGCTAGAACTTAGACGTTGAGGTGCCGCAAAGATGCGAGCAAGCAACAACAAACAAATGTGAGCAAGGACTTTCCCCATTCGGACATCAGTCCACAACACTTGTACAGTAAAACCTTTCTATAATGGACGCCCCGATGCAGTGGAATCTATCCTGGTACGGCAGGATTCTTCCCGATAGGAAGGAGAAGGCATGCGTGAAGTAAAATAAAGATTTTTAAACATGGCGATGCACAATATGCATGTTTGATAGGTTTTGGACCCTTGGCTGAGTTCGATAGTTTCTCGGGGTGAAATGGAGAAAACGTGCTTCCGAATCTGTGCGTATTCCGCTCCAGGGTTGCACAGCACCGCACAGGCAAATTTCCCGTCAAACTAACACGCAACCTTACAGGATTCTGGAAATGGATTCTTGCCGGCACATCAGTGTTCTGTTCGGGTCAACCCTCTTCATGTGAACGCCCCCCCCCCCCCCCCCCCCCCCTTTTCCCCATCATACGAACTTTCAACTCAAGTCGAGTTTCACGGCAATTATCCTAGCGCAAATTCCTCTCCGGATACACGTTTGTTAGACCTGTGAAGAGAAAACAGCAACTCCCACCAACAAACTACTGTATTTAAAACCGCCCAATATTCGCGTCACTAATTTTTGCGATTTCTGGGAACCAGCGAGTTTACGATGGCAAATTTTCGCGGAACATTGTGGCCACACACACATACATACATACATACACCCAGTGTTGAAGTTTGATTTCACGATGGTTACTATTCTAGGCAGTTTCCAGTACTCACATTGACGGAGAGGACGGGTCCGATCTTGTACATGACGTAGCGATCCGATCTGGAGATGTTCTCCGGCGGACAAGGGGACTGTGCATCCCTCACACCCGGCACGTCAGCGAGAGACTTCTGCACCAGTGCCGCAAAGTTGGCCATTCGTGTCGTCGACCCACCCATACACACAAACTGAAGCAAGAATATCACCAGCAACAGCAGCAGCAGCAGCAGCAGCAGAAAAGCCAAGACAGCAGATTCACAGAACAAATTTCTGCATGAGAATGCAAACGGAAATCCGGGTAATGTAGAAACTATAAACCCAAGACCTACTTCGACAATGTTGCAATTTGAAATTATCTAACCAAATCATTACCACCTGGCACCAGCCTAAGTAAAACTTGAGTCACAGAGTTTATCACCAACATAGCCTCACATACATGTACATGTACCCCCCCCCCCCCCCCCCCCCATGCACGCACACATACACAGCCATCTCTATCCATCTCTATCCATACCCCCTCCCCCGTCAACACACACACACAAAGAGCACAAAACAGCAGTGCAGCTGAGGTGCAAACGACATGCACAGGTGCGTTCATGACCGACCATCTACCAAGCACGCCACAGCCAAGATGAGGCATAAAAACCAGGTTGCGAGCAAAAACCGTACCCATCCTTAGGCATCCTACACAGTCATTGTGCATACAACAAGTAGAAAAGGATGAAAAATTCGCCGCGACTCCGAATTTCATGCACAACTATAGGTTAGGTGATCATGAGACAACAGTTTTAGTCATTACGCTTACTTTGACGTCCCCGAAGAGTTGCTTGAGGTCATCATCAGTGCTGTAGCCAATGTGATACAGCTTGTCCGGGTTCAGCTCGGCCAGGTGCGGATTGGACGGGAACGGCGGCAGGTCTGACTTGTCTGTCATCGTCAACGTCTACAAGCCCTGCGTCACTGCACAAACACAGCAAACACACAGAGAGAGAGAGAGAGAGAGAGAGAGAGAGAGAGAGAGAGAGAGAGAGAGAGAGAGAGAGAGAGAGAGAGAGAGAGAAAGAGAGAGAGAGAGAGAGAGGAGAGGCCACGGGTCCAGGTTAGAACAAAGGTTAAATAAGTCATGTTTCACGACAACCCACGAATCAGGCCCGGCGGAACCGGTTCGGTTGGTCAGGCCATGGCAGCACCAACTGTGTGGTCACTGCTAAGAAGGTCATGTGTATGTTCCATATCATACACACAGTATGAAGGACTATGGCCTGGCCGGACCAATCGAAAATCTGCTGCCGCCTGGCCTGCGAGTCGGAATCCCTTGGCACAACTGCAGGCACGTTCTGCTCAGATTCGCTCGACAGGCGGCACAAATCACATCGGCTCTGATCATCACAACATGCATTCTGTTCATGGAGATTTGTACGAAACACGCTTCCACAGGATAACGTTAAATACACTGCGAACTGTACCGGATGATTCCATGCTGACGTCTACCGTTACGGCTGGGCTGCAGCGAAGTGTTGCACAAGTCCACAGACCCAGCGATCAACTCACACGATCTAGACTACTATTTCGACTGCCAAGGCTTTGAAGCCACAAGTAGAGTCCAGGAGACAGCTGAGACAGTAGATCGAATCAAGGGGTTTACACACCAAATCGCCCCAACTAGAACACCTCTCGAGCTAGAGACTGCTGTCATCTACACACATGCCTTCCACTACGTCTGAGAAATCTGCCTCGAATCTAGAGTCGCAGACATAGAACCAGGGCTACAGTTCACAAACTTGGAACAAAGAAGAGGTTGAAAAATGTCACTGCTAGGGTTTGTGCCAGCGGTAAATTGAACTGGTATATGCATTCGGGGGGGGGGGGTGTTCGGGATTATGCTGTGCATGAAACCTGGCACACAGCTAGCAGCTGGCAGAGATCTATGCAGTGACGTGCGGAATACGTCTACACGTGGACGTAAAAGCAGGGCTCGACGCCCTACAGAACTAGAAGGCTACACAACCATACACACACAAGTATTGCACAGGTGCATGGTCGGGTGTTTTGACAGCAAATCACAAGGCGGAGGACACAGTGCATTCAAGGCAGTGTTCCTGAGAAGAAAGCATGACTTGCATACGTATAACAGGTGCAAGGGTCCTAGCAAGCACCGCTACACCCAATCTGTCATGAACATACAACAATCACCGAAAACACCTACCGTATTTTCCGGGGTATAAGCCGCACCGGGGTATAAGCCGCACCCCCCTTTTTGAGGCAAAACATTGACTAAAAGTTGGTATTCGGAGTATAAGCCGCACCCACAAACCAAGATTTTTCACACTCATTGACAAATGGCCGTTCTACAAATTTATTATGGTTATGGAGCTAATTACCATGTTAGATCAGATTATGAAGTGTTAGTGCACCACAGGTTGCTGCAGAGATGTTGGTGTATTGCTGTGTTGACTACAGATCACTCCATGTCATCTGCACTATCTTCAGTCTCTTGCAGTACGCAAAATAGAGTCCCCGTATACGCGTACCGTGTGGTGTAGCCCGCGCACTAAAACTAGTAAAAGTGCCGGGATAGCAACACAGGCCCGAAGCTGAGTCGAATGACATGTCACATGACGTCAGCATGCATACTGATGTATGCTAAGCATTCATTCGCGCAAGCATATTCGGTGTATAAGCCGCAGGGGCGATTTTGGTCCGATTTTTAGCGAAAAAAAGTGCGGCTTATACCCCGGAAAATACGGTAATTACTTTCAAACAAACAAAATGCTGGAGCATCTCCTCACAGTAACGACTCTGGTGCTGTACAGACTTTCACAAGCTGGTGCAGAGCGCCATACCAGTTGGAGTGCGCCACACTTGACAACATGTTACCACACAGCACTCGCGTCAACAGATGTACAAGTGGAATAAAATAATAATGAAAATGATTACCAGACCAATGACGTAGTACTGTATATGAAGGGCTCCAATTCAAAACGAGATAAATCCATTTTGTGGAAATTTCAGGAAGTGCATTTTTCATTTTTTTTTTCTTTTTCGGTCTGCACCGCAGAATCAGTGACTTCTATCGCATTTTGCAGAAGAACACAAACTTCAGGCATTATTTTGACTGGGAGATATCGCGTTTTGACCCGTAACACCGACACACAGACATCCGTGGGTGAAAAAAGAATTCTTTCGTGACAAAAAAACGCAAAAGCTCCGGTTTGGTCTTTATCGCGTTTTGAATTGGAGCCCTTCATATAGTCAGTGGGCACTGGGCAGCAGGGAGTCATACCCAAACCAGGTTTGGGTACGACTCCCTGGTGAGCAGAGGACACACTTTGAAATGCAGCTGGCCACACAAGCCCAGTTATTCGACTCATGCACTGCTGAGTCGCGAACGATCGTGCTGTGCGTTCAACAACACGCTTTAGCAAAACATTTCATTATCCCAGAAATCTGGAAACAAATCTCGCAAGAAAGACTCCTAGATCCTGCGCTCCGTCACATAGATATGTGCATTTTGCACACCTCTGGACAACACCCGGGGCATGATCTATACGTGAGAGCGCTATCTGGTTTTCCTGTTCTCTCTCCCTAGCTCTCCTCTGTCACAGCAAGAAATAAAACTTCACAAAAATGCATTTTGTTGTAGTCTGAAAAGAAGTTGTCAGCATGAAGACAGAATAAACGACTAGCGTTTGGGTCAAGGGAAGACTACGGGGAGGTCAAGGGAGGACTACAGCGACACCATCGACACGATCATCACGCGCTGCATTTGGCATCTTTCGCAGCAATAGAGGCATGCACACGTGGGTACACACAAACGCGCAGGATACACCCACAAAATAGCATCCGAAACAACGTGATCCCACTCACCGACTAGTGCTGGTACGGATGACTCCTGTTCACTGACACTGCACTGGCTCTCCGCGAGTAAGACTGACACTGCACTACGTACTGCAACCACCTCCCTGGTCAAGAACAGATTGTTTTCTGTCTTCTGGCAAAGAAAGCTGCTGTCCTCTTCTGAGTTTGTTCAACACCATCACTCGCACCATGTACCAGTGACTTGCCATCATCAAGTCCTGCAACCAGCTGATTTCTGTGTAGTGACGCTGTACGCTGTCACGATCGTGGTACCATGCATGGTACGAACAGTTTAGTTTCCAAACTTTTGAAATTATTTTCAAAAACATGTCACGGGCAGGGAGCCCTACACGTACCCTGCACGCGTGTAGCTGCTCCCTTGTCACGGGCATGCGATCATGCATGCCGCATATCACCACAACAACCACAAAAAAATATTTGCGTCGTCCTGAATACCCGACTTTTCCCAGAATGCGCGACATGTACGACATCCAGCTAGATATAGATAGAGCTAGAGGCAGAGTATTATTATTATGTACCGTGGTACTACATGAATTGTACTAGTAGTACATGAAAACCGCTACATCTACATGTACATGAAAACCGAGGGGACGGTTTCAAAATAATAGGACACAGGTTGCAAACCGGAACGGACGTAGACAATCATAGAGGTCTGGCAGGACTTTACGGCTGAATCAAGGCCGAGTGCGTACGGCCAAGGGCGCAGGCCAAGGCGCGTAGCGCCGAGGCCTGCGCCCGCGGCCGTACGCACGAGGCCTTGATGAAGGCGAAAAGTCCTGCCAGGCTCTATGATGGTGTTTCAGGTTTTGTCTTTCGCTTTTCTGGTATAAAAGCAAGACACGTATAGGGGTGGTGGTCGGGGACGTGGTGGATTCAGCTTGTGAGTTTCAGCTCCTTCAGCTTGTGAGTTTCAGGTCCGTCTGCTTCTCATGGATGGGATGATCGGGTCCATGATCTTTCGCTTCCTCAAAATTATCAGAAAAGTTCGGCAACTCGTCAACTCCTTTTTTGGTACCAGTACATGTAGAACAGAAGTGGAAAACTGATCGCGATGTTTGCCACTTATTTCAGCTTGGTTCTTAGCAGATAGATGGGTGCATGCTCTTTCGCTTATTCACAACTATCGTAAAATTTCATCTCCACTCACGACAACAAGAACTTGAGTTGAAAACTGACCACGATGTGTAGACACTTTTCATGTTGCCGTTTTCGGACAGGCTGTTTCCAGGTACCAGAGCATGTTCACAGTCGAATGTGAGGTGCGAACTGAGCTGACAACGAAAAACTGCCACAGACCCCTGCAGAGCTAGGCTGACAGAGTACGGGGTGCCATTGACGACGGGCTTTATTGCTACCGTATTTTTCCGTATCCATTGACCACGGGCTTTATCGGCTCATCAAGGCCACCGCGTGTTATACGCACACCCATATTTGGATCCCGACCCCGGCACATTCCATTACCCCCTACCCCTACCCTTGCATGCAGTAATTCATACGCACTCCACTACCCCCTACCCCTACCCCTGCATGCTGTAGTTCATACGCACTCCATTACCCCCTACCCCTAGCCCTGCATGCAGTAATTCGTACACATTCCATTACCCCCTACCCCTGCATGCAGTAGTTCATACGCACTCCATTACCCCCTACCCCTAGCCCTGCATGCAGTAATTCGTACACATTCCATTACCCCCTACCCCTGCATGCAGTAATTCGTACACATTCCATTACCCCCTACCCCTGCATGCAGTAGTTCGTACACATTCCATTATCCCCTACCCCTAGCCTTGCATGCAGTAGTTCGTACACATTCCATTACCCCCTACCCCTGGCCCTGCATGCATTAGTTTGTACACACTTCATAACCATATTTGACCCATTATCCCCTACCCCTATCCCTAGCCTTGCATGCAGTAGTTCGTACGTACACACTTATAACCATATTTGACCCATTTCCCCGCTGCCCCTGCATGTTATAATTAATACCGTATACATTTGTAGCCCGTTTTCCCTCCTTCTGCCCCTGCACATAAAACCCACCGTACATTTGATCTAATTACATCCCTTTATAGTGTACATAGTCGGGCTATACACATAATATACGCGCCCAGCTAAATGGGCGCGCTCATGCATTGTACCGTACATTCTATTCTAGTTCACTCTAAGATAACCAAACTTCGATAATCTAGTCAGAAGAAGAATCCACTCCCTAATGTTGATGTCGAATAATTCTGTCCTCGTCGTGAGATAATATATACTTTACCAACTCTCGTAAACGGGTATCTCTGATTGTCTGGTGTGCGAATTGACAACATTGGCGCCCAACGTGGGGCTCGAACCCACGACCCTGAGATTAAGATTAATTACATCCCTTTATAGTGTACATAGTCGGGCTATACACATAATATACGCGCCCAGCTAAATGGGCGCGCTCATGCATTGTACCGTACATTCTATTCTAGTTCACTCTAAGATAACCAAACTTCGATAATCTAGTCAGAAGAAGAATCCACTCCCTAATGTTGATGTCGAATAATTCTGTCCTCGTCGTGAGATAATATATACTTTACCAACTCTCGTAAACGGGTATCTCTGATTGTCTGGTGTGCGAATTGACAACATTGGCGCCCAACTTTGGCTCTAATTACCCACTCCCTCCGCTCTACCGACTACCAACGACTCTGTAATGAATATTCCCGGTGCCTTTCACTTCCCCGCGTGAGTAACTTCGATAAGCTTGTGTATCATATTAGTCATAAGTGCTTCTGCCTACCGTTGTGTTCTTGTTCGTTTTCCTTTTGTGTTAATTGGTGTCCTTTTGTGGTGTTTCGGGTGCATCAGACTTATCAGCCTTACTGTCTAGTGTAGCATACATAGTACGAACCTGTTCGGTCTTCCATATTTGATCTTGAAAAAAAAAACAAAAACAAAAACTATTCAATATGTCAAGTCAATCTTCTTGGATAATGCCCCGTCCATTCTCAGGCAAAGAGAACGAGGATTTCGAAGCATTCTTATTAGATTTTGATAATGCTTGTGATGCCAATGGTTGGGATGATACTACCGTTCTGGCTCGGCCTGTCCGTCCAGCCCCCATAAGAACCCGAGGGGAAGCATCTGGTTCACACTATACGGTTACACCATCTCCTGTTACTTCTACCCCGGCCCCACCTAAAGAGGCTACATTTTATACTCGGTACTCTGAAGCTTGTTCGGACGGTCCTTACGCACCTGACGATATTCCAACACCAAAGATTCATTATGCTGATGATACAAAGTCCAAGTCTAGTGCCAGTAGTAGTAAACCAGATGCCTCCCTCCCCACTAAAGACTATCAGTGTCCGGGTCCCCTTGGTCGTGGTTCAGATGTTGGGACTCCCGTTACTCATAACCCCTTTCTGACTGCTCTGGAGGCGAAGGAAGAAGATGCTGCACGCAAACTTCACTGCAAACTTGTATTGTTAAAGAGGTCACTTCGTGACAGTGCTGCACGTTTTCTATTAAGTTTAACAGTGGTAGAATGTGGGCAGTATGACACCCTTCGCAAAATCCTTACTGAGCGATACATGCCAGTCGAAGCCCAGTACGTCCGTAGAACCCAGCTACGTACGAAACGCCGCCAACATGGGGAATCGTTGTCGACTTTAGCCGACGACATTCGTCTGTTGACAGCCCGGGCTTATCCCAGAGCAGGAGTACTAGAGAGGGATGATTATGCCATGGAATCTTTCATTCAGGCTTTGGGCGAGTCATTGCGTGCAAGGGTTAGGGACAGCCAACCTGAAACCATGCAGGATGCACTGCGTAGGGCTCTGTATTTGGAAGCACATTCATTTGCTGATGCCTCTGCCAGACATGAGCGTAATCATAGTCATGATCCGTACAGTGCAGCTGTGTCTTCTGTACGAGATGAGCGTCCCCCTGGGTCTGGTTCAAAGGGTAATAGTAGTACCTCCCGTGCACAGCAGTACAATAATGAACCTGATACGCTCACCCGTCTCTGTTTGGCAGTAGAGAAACTAGAGACTCGCCTGTCTGCCCCTGTTAGCACTTTTAATGGTGATCCCCATAAAGGCCGTAAACCCCAGTACGATTCTTCCCATAATGAACCTACCTCTAATTCTGCTCGCTCTTATGGCACAGGCCCTTCCCGTGGCTCAGTCCAGGGCCCACCTTCTTTTGAGTCTGGTTACCAGACCTCCCATCATGATAATTATGCTAGGCGTTATGACCCTCCCCGTGGCTCAGTCCAGGGCCCACCTTCCTTTGAGTCTGGTTATCAGCCCCCCTATCACGATAATTATGCTAGGCGTTATGACCCTCCTCGTGGCTCAGTCCCGGGTCCACCTTCTTTTGAGTCGGGTTATCACGATCACCCTATGCCACATGGTCCTCCCCGTAATTTTGATCATGATGCATCCTATGCTGCTCGTCCCGATCAAGGGATGGCTTATGGTCCCCCTCCACCCCGTAGTAAACAAGGTTCCGGGTATGGTCCTCCTCGTCATGGTCCCCGTCCACATAACAGTCGAGTTGAGTTTAGGGACAACAGGAATGGTTATCGTCCTCCTGGCCCATCTTCCCACCCCACCCGTTTCCATAATAGCCATTTAAACTAGTTACTGAGGCAGATTCTTCAAAGCTTGTCCGTAACTGTGATTATTCTACTCCATTTGAAGTTCCTGCCGATGACTCCGCTACACATAAGTATTCTAGTAATGAAAGCTTGTCAGTTTTCCCATCTGATAAGGATTCTAATTGTTCCAATAATTTTCAAAGTAAGGCTGATGGTTTGTTGCAGTCCGCTGTGCCCTTGAGTGATGCTGATTTTCATTCTGGGTATGACGAGGACTCACCTGTTGGTTATGAAGTGCTTGTGGATGAATCTCCGCGGGAAGCCCTTTATTCTAAGTATTTAGAGTGTTGTGATGATGACTTGGAGGCACATGTCCCCCTTTTGCATGATGTTGAAGAAGATGAGGATGAACCCCTTCTTTCAGTTGTGCCTCCACGTCCTGTTTACAACACACCCCAGAATAGTCTTAATGCCCTACAGATGTTGATGGATGAAAATACGGATGTAACACCCGTTTTGCCGCTCGACTCCGCTGTTCAATTATTCATGGCCGAGAATTTAGACGAAACGCCTGTTTTGCCTTTCTGGTCTCC